GTTTTCTACTCATCACGCTTCAAGCCTTATCATAAATACAACGAAGCAGTTGCTGTGTTGGCGGTGTGTGAGCCGCTACAAACCAAGATAGCCAGGCACCAACGGCCTTCTCTCCACACTCTATGCGAACAACCAACACTGATGGCTCAAGTCAGTTTAGCCCCTCAATCGCCGAAGGGGCTATATAAACATCGGGTTTCCATCAAGCAGGATTCATCTATGCCTATTTATTGGGCACAAATGAACCCATCACAGCAGGCTTGACTGCAACCACCAGTGATCACAATGCCCGAGTATCCTGGGGCCGGGCGCAATCTGCGTCTAGAAATCGACTGGAACAAACTACACTACCCCATCGGCCACCCAGGATGCAGAGGTGCCAATTCAGATATGTTGCTGGTTCGCGAAGTAGCCATGATGGCCTTCATAGAAAAAATCACTGACAAACCAGATTGGCACTTGAAAATCTTTGATCCTGAGATCACGGCCAAGTATACCGAAGAGGCTCTGAACTGGCCCATAGACGACTTATATGATCACATTTCCTTGGGTGGTCGCCAAGAGCGATCTGTCTCAACCATGTTCAATGAGAAGACCATTGACTACGTGAGTATATTTCATGATACCGCTACCCAGATATCGTCATAAAAGCCACAAACTCATATCGCACCAAATCGCAGTGTATTCGCGAGCTCAGAGCCAAAGCCACATATTTTAAGGTAACCGGTATGATACCAACATTAGACGCATGTTACACCATTGTCAAGTCGGATGTGCTGGTCGACGATGGCTTACGTGAGGAGTTGCGCGCTTCCTTTGATCGTCTCAGAGTCGAACAGGCAAGCAACCCGGATTGGCATCCCCACAGTGGAGAAATGGTGCAGGACCTAGTCCACCCATCAATGTACCCATTTGTTTACGGTCGAAGTCCTTTCGTTGCTGATGAGGTCGTGGGAGTCGATGATGCCATTGACAAATGGGCGGGCAAAGGAGACATACTACCTAAACCTCCATTGTCTGAGCAAGGCCACGGCACCGTTCTAGAGAATTCTTGGTCTACAAATTACCAATGGCTCCCATCAAACTTACGATTCAAGGAGGAAGGCGGTGTTGAATTCACAAGCTATATCAACAATTTGCATCCAGTCAAGCATCGGGACATTTATCATACCATCGAAAAACTTATCAATGAAGTACTGCCAATGTGGAATCAGTGCCTCGCGCGATACAAGTCATGGGATGAACGCATTGGCCCGGGACATTTAGTCCCACGATTTCCAATTCCTGACCGTGTAGAGTAAGTTCCTTCACTCAACCCCTTCATAGCTGATGACCCTGTCGTTGCTGATTCTTTGTATTTATAGCGACGATGATGAAGAGAATTGGGACCCTCCTAAGCCTAGAAAATCGACTTCTGACGAAAACTGGGAGCTGTCCAATGATGAATCTGACGACGATGGCCCTGAATTAGCCAGATGGGTACAAACCCGAAAAGCAGTGCAGCCTGAGGTTGGCGACTACGAACCAGAACCTGGAGACTATGTGATTCAGGAAGCCCACCGGCTAGAGACACTGTTCAAGGATACTGGTCTTCAAGTCATTGTGAAGATTGCCTCTATTGAACTAGGGTCTTCAAAACCTGTGTTTCCTCTAGGAAGTTGGCATATTGAGGGTCAAATGAACGAGCGTATTGTTGGCACAGCGCTCTACTATGTCGACTCGGAGAACATTATGCCTACTCAGCTACAATTTAGAATGTCAACAGATTGGGAGGACATACAAGACTGGTATGGTGCCAGCAATGATAGGTACCAGTGGCTTGAAAGAGTCTACGGCACCAAGTTTAGCTCTTACGACGATGGGCGTTGCCTGCAGAATTACGGACTTGTCGATACCCGCCCTGGTAGATTATTGGCATTCCCTAACGTGTTTCAGCACCGTTCCTCTTGGATAGAGTTGGACAATCCATCAAAGCCTGGGCGTCGGAGCTTCATCGCCCTCTGGCTGGTCAACCCTGTCACTCGCATCATCAGTACGGCCAACGTCCCGCCACAGCGAGAAGACTGGCTCGCTGAAAACGCTTTCGACAATGGCACAGGTACATCTAACGCAGAGAAGAATTCTCGAATATATCAGCTACCAGGCGAGCTCACAGAAATGGTTCATGAGGAAGTGCGCAACAGCCGGTTAATGGGAGATGAAGAGGCGAAGGAGCATCGGCTGAAATTGATGGAAGAAAGGACAAACTTCCAGGAAAAGTCACACAAAGAGTGGCAACAGAGAGATTACAACTTTTGTGAGCATTGATAGTACGTCAAGGATGGTTCCATGAATCTTTGATGGTTTTCCCTACCAGAGCTTGGTGACTCGGGGTGTGGCGGTACACGCTTGATTCAAAGATGCACGAATAAATTATATTAAAATATTAAGCAGTCGTTCAACGAGGCTACAGTCTATTACATTCAGAGTGCAGAATTGGATATACTATGAGGCTGAAAAGAGAGTTGCTATCTTAGGAGTCATCCTTTCCAATCGGTGCTCCGTGTTGCCTCCTTCTTGACTTTTCATATATCGACAAACAAGTGATGAATACCATGACATCAAAGTCATCTCCCCTATCTAAATGAATCTGCAAAACACCACACTTTTTAAAAGAAGGCGTGCTCCTAAACGTAGCCAGTACTTGATTCGTCTCTGCATCGAGAAGCTTGTAGTTTCGCATGCTCAGCGCCCTTGGTTTCTCGCCTAGGACTTTAGCCGAGTGCGTGCGCTTCCACACAAACTCGCTCCTCTGGTCGTTTTGACCCAAGTGCAGGCGATGCTCTGATGCGTTGCGGGTCTGCATCGTCAAGTCCTCCCATGTGATGGATTCTTCGGCGTCCGGATCGCCGAAGCCGATTTTGAAGCCGGATGCGAGACGGAACATGTAAGATACTGCGACCACGGGGCACCTGTTGGAGTTTCCCCGGCGGAGCACGAGATCTGGTGTTTTAGAGGAGATGCCGGATGATTGGGCGGCGTAGTAGAGTGGCTCGCCGGAGGAGGTGGTGATGTCGTAGTGTTTGGTGTAAGAGGTGCGATTTACCTGGAAGATGCGGGATGAGGGAGCGGGTTCTGTCTCTGGGCTTGACATTTTGCTAAAAAGGCTCCTGGATTCAATTATTGATGGTGAATGTTGTTCAACGACGATGGAAGTTGTGTGGCATGATGAGGGCAAGTTTGGATGCTTATGTATGTATATATATATTATATCCATGCTCTCAGTCATGAGGCGATAGTAGACCAACAGTTCGGATATGTTGCCGAATTATTATCCATTCCAGGCAAAGCCTGTTCATCCTAGCTAATCGCAATTAACATGCTCTCTCATGGCCTGTTTCTCATTAGATTATTTCTGTCCAAGCTGAAGCTCAGCTCAAGCACTACCCCAGATTTGACACCGACAGGGAAATGCAAAGTGTGCGGAGCAGGGCGGATGCGATGAATACGAAATTCCATTTCTACGCATTTCCAACGGTTTCCGCAGCCTATGAGTAAAGGCCTTTTGGTGCATCGTCGACTATTGCAAATAAATACAAAATGGGTCATCTCTTCCTCTACAGTTTTGGGAAGTAAAATGAACTGCTCACGCCAGCATCGACAGTGAGTATCGTCCCCGTAATCCATCTCGCCTCCCCTCCCGCCAAAAACCGGGCAGCAGTCGCGGAATCCCATGCATTTCCTTCTGTTTGCAGCAGGCTCTGCATCCGCCTAGACTCTCGCGCTGCTTCAGTCATGCCCTCTGCCGCCACCATGGGCGTGTAAAGAAAACCTGCATCCACCCTTTATTAGTACCTTGAGTGTCCCCCCAAAAAAGTGAGGATGGATGAACGTACCTGGACACACGCAGTTCACTCTAATACCATCTGTTCCATGGTTCGCCGCCATGGACTTTGTCATGTTCACGACTGCGCCTTTACTGGTTGGATAGAATAAACTCGTCGTCCCGCCCTGCAGTCCAGCTATTGATCCCATGTTCACAATGCTCCCCCTTATACCCCCTCATCACGCTCATTCCTTAGCATGGCTTGTATAGCATACTTGGCCATGAGCGCCATACTCGTGACGTTCACGCCCCAACTCCTCGCCCACTCCTTCTCATCAGCCTCCACCGCCGTGCCCTTTGCTCCAAAGATGCCCACGTTGTTGACTAGGATATCTAGTCTCCCATATTCCCTTATAGCGGTAGCGACTAGGGCCTCACATTCCGAGTCGCTACTCACATCTGCGCACACGGCGATGGCTGTTCCGCCTTCTTGGTGGATCAAGTCCTCAGTGCGTTGGGCGGATGAAAGGTCGAGATCGGAACACATGACGGAGGCACCATCTGAGGCGAGGAGGATGGATATGGCACGCCCATTGCCGAGACCATCGCCTTGGGAACCCGCACCGGTGACGATGGCCACCTTGCCAGTGAGGCTGCGTGAAGGTCTCGGTGGGAGGGGCGAGTGAGGCATAGTAAATACAAAAGTGCTGATAGGTATTTAGACAAGGCGAGTGAGGTCTTTTAGATTATGTATTGCGTACGACGATTCGATATTTATCTTAGTGATCAGTAACTAGATATGCTGTTTACTTGTTATCCAAGTGAAGAGGTAGGTATTCTTTTCTTCCAAGCATAATAGGGGGCCCGGGTTATTCCCCTACGCCACATCATTAATGCGGTGTAGTCATTCAACCCAACCAAGGCCCCATGTAGTATTTCCACAATGACCCTTACAAGCAGCATGCAAGTCTCAAAGACAATAGCCATTTCCAGGCAAGATTGACGATATCGGAGAGGGGAGTTTCGACTTCTCAAACACCTACTGCCTACCCTATAGAGAGACGCACGGCAACCCCCACCCCCACATTTGTATGCCCCCACCAAGCCCACTCACCCCCACCAGGCTTAAACTGCGTCATTTTCGTGAGACCCGCATGAGAGAAAATAACTCACCAGTCATCACAACAAGCTCAAAGGCACTTTGGCCGAGTGGTCTAAGGCGCCGTGTTCAGGTTCATCTGAAGCGATTCAGAAGATCCGACTTCGCGGTCTAGTAATAGGCGTGGGTTCGAATCCCACAGGTGTCATTCTTTTTGCCCACCTTCTCAACTGATATCTGTTCTTACTTTTTTGACTTCTAACCTCTAGGTATTGTTCCTCATCTTCCCCATTTGTAACAGTCAACGTGAAACAGAGGTTGGAAACTTTGAACTACATGGATGGGGCAGGTCATTTGTTGAAGGGCTGATTTGCTGCTCAGGTTGGATGGTTCTGTGGCCATTCGTGAATATTTGCCATCACAGTTCGGACACTTTATGTTATTTTGGTTGCCCAACAAGTACAATTACTGATTGTCTAAAACTAGATCCCCCATGCTACCGCCAGGACTCCGATGTGATCAGCATCACTTGAGTGACCACGCACACCAACAGATGATTGAATCAGATGACAATACAGTGCCTCGTTACGTACGGAGTATATAAAGTCTATGCTCGCACTTGGATGCCTTTTCATCCATATCATGTGTTCGTTTAGTTTTTGGGTGGGGTAATGGGAACACGGGGCGAATGGGCTGAGCATTCGGATGGGGGTTATTATGAGCTATATTTCTCTCGTGTGTCAGTACTCTTAACTGGGACGGGATAATACAATTACAGGAGAAAAGAAGAGAGAAGGGGAGGTTCACATCTGGGGCAGGCCTACAGCATGCCGGGGTAAGCTGTTGGAACCGGCAGGCCGTGTAGAAGTCATCTTCTGACTTGAGGTGTTTTCTCACTGTGTGGAAGGTTAGTCGGCGTCCAAGGGTGATGGGGGGGGGGGGGGGAGGATCGGTTGTTTGCGAAAAAGAAAGTCGACCATGTTATGTGACGGCGTTGAAGAGGACTGACAAAAGGCGCAATCAACAAGCTCGGCCTTCTCTCCCGCTTTTCCATTAGTCTTGCAGCAGAAAGACTCTTTACAGCCGCAGGGGCGGATAGCGCCTATTCTACCAGCGGCGACGCCGAGGCTGGCAGAGAGGCCGAGAAACACAATGGTCAACTTCATTTTTGCTGAAGAGGGTTATGATGCTTAATTAGAGTTGTAGAGATTGGGGGCAGATGAGTAAGAAAAGGTAGGAAGGATATGAGATGAGGTTGATGAGGGTGAGGTAGGGGCGGCACTGAGGGCGGGATCATTCAGACTTTTAAATAGTTGTGATTTGAGGGGTTGGTATTTGTAGCACGACACAATAGTTATCGTCATGAGCATCGTCATCATGTATGTTAATCACTTTTAGCGATTTGGTCGCCCAAAGTAAAATAATAATAATATCAGGGGCTTGATACTTTTCTAGTGCACATTCGACAATATGTGAAATAGACCCCCTCGGCGCATCATACAATGCCATACCCACGGATACGTTCTGATCAACTAGAGAACTCCCATTATCGGATGCTTCCGGTTGCCTGGTGCGTCGTGGTGACTGCTCGGCGCTTGATTCGAATAAGTTTTGGCTACCAAGTGTCGGAGGGGGTTGGTTGTGGTCGGCCTGGAAATTGACCATGTTTCTGCTCAGGAATATGATTGCTAGTGAGATGGTGATGACTATCATAAACTGTAAGTTTGAGTTGCTTTTCATGTAATCATTGGCATTTATTCTGTTCTAATGCATATTCTAATGTACAAAGCCAAACCTTGTCCAAGATGTATCATGATCTGTACTGTTGTAGATACAAAAGCCAATTGCACTCTGCAACGTACATGGTGCTAATTGAGCTGGAAGACGAAGCCAATGGGCACATGGTAATGTAGGATATGATTAGGAGCTTAGAATAAACCCTAAATATGATTCGGTCGCCTTCTACTAGAACTCAATTCAGCAACTCGACACTTTTCTGGGCTACACTGCGCACATGCTGGCACAATCATCCAGGGGAGAAGAGGGGAGAGAGGTAGATCACATAGCCCAAGCCAAGCCACAAGATTCTAGAACGTATCAAACTTTCTTATGTGAGACTCTATTCATTTTGAGCTGCCTAGCTTATACGGACGACGTGGGAGGAAGAGGAGGGGGAAAGGGGGGGGGGTTGTAAATGTCATATGCGTGACAACTGTGAAGAGACTAACCGTCGAAACACTGCGCGCCATCATAGCATCGAGTTTCAAGACTATTCATTATTATTTTAAAGAGATATTTAGTCATTTATGATGTCACAGGGAAACATGGTTTATGAAGCGCTGCGCCAAGTGCGACGGCCACTATCCCCCGTCTTTTCTGAGAGGGGCATTGGATTACCGAAATATCTCCACGTTCCTGACGTTGCTCTAGATTTCAGATATTGCTTACATGAATCATGACCGTGGTGATGCGTGGCGATGGCATGGCCGGCAAAGAGGCCAATTAAAATAAGTGGTTGACTTGGTTGCGAAAGATAAGTCTTTTTGGATTCGTGAGGCGAGTGCTGAAGAAATAGATGGAATCGAAGCATGGCACCAAGGAGAGGTCACCTATGACTTTAAATACCCAACATGTGTCAAATAAACGTTGTTATTGGAAATCTACGCAAGCGAGGTATTCCTATGAACATCTTCGTAATGGATTGCAGGAGTGCCTTGGCCGATCTGCCACCAGAAGGAAAATAGGGGGAAGCCTATGAATTGGGTGAGCTCATCCAAGACAACCTTTAATATATGATATACTCTTGTCGTAGAACGTGCTACATGACCAATACATAACACACCAGGCAACTAGAGATTATTTCGAGGCCCGATCGCCTGGCTCGATGAAGAAAACGATTTAAATACTGAGTTTGAGCAGGCTTTGTGACCCCTAGGCATGGAACGGAGTTGACTGAGGGGATGAATTTGGGAGTCCACCATACTTGCACACAGGAGCAGCAAGGCCAGCAAGAAGGCGATCACGATGCATTAAGCGTCTAGTGCCTTTCAAGGTCTGATAATCCTTTTAAACCTATACATCTTCCAAAAAAACAAGACTAAGCTGTCGCGAGATGTAAGCATCATGCGCAACGATTTAATGTAAGAACAAGACGTGACAGCGATATAAATACGCCCGAATAAACTGAACAAAAGAGCCAAATATATGGCTTTTAAGGGAGATATGGAAAATGAAAAATCGGCTCAATCTCAGATAGAATAGACAAGCTTTAGGTTGTAGGCACTGTTTCAAATATCGCTTGTCTGGTCATACCCAAGCATATGGAATATGTGACATGGTGATACGATATGTCAATGTTGTTCATCCTCTTCATATGTTCTCGTAGGTCTATGTCTAGGGGTTCATGCATAGAGAGGATTGCCCTAAAACCTAGACCACGCATAGATGTTAGCAAAAATCACCTGAGAGATGTGATGTGATTAGGGAAGGAGGCAGATCATACAATAACGACACAGCATTTCGGTTGTTTTCCTACTTTGACGCAAAAGGTAGCGAACTCATTGGCGGTCGTGACGGGCGCTATTTTCTTTGAATCAGTTTATGTGAATGAATAGAAAGCTAGGGGGTCGCGGGTGCCATATGCGACACTGTCAAGGACTAACCGAGGATGCAGTTTAAATTGGCGACCCCAAGAGGATCAGTTTCACAACATTGAGGATTAGAGAAAAGACCATCTCCGCATGGCTTATCCACACCACGAGGCGCAGCGGCTGCAAGGCCGGCAAAGAGGCCAAAGAAGGCAGTAGTAGATTTCATTTCGAGAGTTGTTTACATGAGCACCCCCACGATGCCCCCTCTTGTAATATCTTGGCGGTTTTGCCACGAAAAGCAAGCAAAACAGGATGGGGCCCGTCTCGTGACAACATTCAGAAACATGTCTGATACTTGTATGTTCTTGACGCACCGCAGACCGCAAGATGAACGCACACCGCCGGCCAGCCAGTCAGAGGTGATTTCTTTTGTTGTCCGAGGCTTTTCGGTTGAAGGAATACGTTCGGCGCCTTAGTCCGAACAACTCTTAGTGGTTGCTGAGTACCCGTGAAGAGATGGGCTATGAGGTGGGCCAAGTGTTCAACAAGGCTGCTACCCAAGAAGGGGGACTAGCGATTGCAATGGTAGGTCGTTCACTCAATTCACTATTCATCACTCGAGCCGTGCAAGATCCCGCGTCACCTTCACCACGGGGCTTGGGGCGCTTCTCTCCGTACACAATCCCAGCATCTACTTCCTCATCATGATGTGTGGCGATGGCAGGGGCAGTAACAAATAAGCAACCCTCATGTTTTATGTTTCCTTCTTTTTCTCTCTCTCTCTCTCTCTCTCTCTCGCATTTCAGGTATAAGACTTGATGCCAAAGGTTCGGGATCCCTTGATCGGAAATGCGAACGGCAGGAATCCCAAAGCAGTGAGACATGAGGCGGGCAGACTCGAGAGGGGGAAATTTCCAGGATAATGGGACACCGACCTTGTTTTTACAATTCTCTTCCCCTCCCCCTTACCTTGGAAATTTGTTACGAGGAGCAAATAAGTGTAAGCCTCGTAGACAGAGCGACTCTTGCTCGGACTAATCAATACCGCAATTCTAGGTTAGGTCGTCCTTGTTGGGGAAACGCCCGGAACGTCACAGGTACCCGGGCACGGATCCCGGCCGCCGGCAGGGCTGGCAAAGAGGCCAATCAGGCAGTAGACTGCATGGTGGCATGTAGGAGAGAAGATAGAATAAAGAGTGATGGCTGCGGGAAGGAAGTCTAGAAAAGAAGAGGCGGCTTGCAACGTTAACGAGTACTCATAAAATCTTACTCCACCGAGGAGCCACACCCGTCGATAATCACGCTCCTCAAACATCGTCACCATGCATCCCCCCGGCAAGCCTGTCACAAGAAGCAAATAAGCGCGGGCCTTGCGGACCGGGCAGCCTCCCTCCGAGACACCTTTCAAGGATCCACACGTACATAACACCAGCTCCATCCAACTCCGTATACTTGTAGTATTCCCACCCACCGGCTTCCTAGGTTCCGAATATCCTCAGGCTTCAGCATTCTGACATTGTACCCCCCGTTGGGCTGGAAGGTGATGGAACCCCGCGATGACGAGAATGAATACGGCGAGGATCTCCCCCTGGTTGGTCGCTCGATATGTCTTGGCGAA